ACGTCCCCCCCCCAAATTTTACACATAACTTGTCCCCACCCATACATACACGCATGCAAACATGCGTCGGGGGCGCATACGTGCAAACAAGACAATTGCGCCCGTTACGCCGCACAGGTTACATATCGCCGCAAACGTCGGAGTGAGAGCAATCATTTTAGGGCCATCAATCACTGATAACACTAAACTGATGAGTGGTAAAAGCTTTTAAAGCGTCGCCTATGGCCAATTTTGGGTATGGTAGTTTTCTGCGATGTCGCGGGTGCGCGCAATTTTAAAGCTTGACATGTTTGGTGTCTATTTAACCGACGTGACCCCGACTTTTATATTTTACCAAAAAACTGGGTAATAAGTGTTTCCTAACAAATGTAAAAAAATACTTTTTTTTTTTCAACATTTTCAGTAATTTTTCCTAATTATAGTAAAATATAAAACCCCCAGTGGTGATTAAATACCACCAAAAGAAAGCTCTATCTTTCCCCAAAAAATGCTATAAAATTCATTTCAGTACAGCGTTGCATGACGGAATAAACGTCAGTCAAAGTACCGCAGCGCTGAATACTGAGAAATGGCCTGGCCAGGAAGGGGGTGTAAACACCTGGTCTTGAAGTGGTTAATATCACTTTAATATGAGAGAGAGAGAGAGAATTGTGCCTAAACTGAATGTACATTTCTGCACATGGAACAAAAACAAATATTAGTATTTTCTTACCAGGTCGAGCGCAATTAACGCATAAAACGATTGGATTGAATCAGGAAAACACCACATTTTGACCACTAGGGGGAGCCAGGGATCACATGATTCCAATGCTCCTCAGCTCCATCCAGTGGCCATATTGCGGTACTTTTCTGATGTTAAATGCAACCCAGAAAGAATGTACACTAATATTTGTTTTTGCTCCATTCGTACAGAACGCATGTAGCTGGCATTTTCACAGGACAAAAAGCTCTGCGAATCTGTTAAATACACCCCCGACAGTGTATTCAGTCCCCAACACTATGGCTTAAGCTGCCCATACATCCGACTATCGTACGATAACGGCGGGTGTACAATCATCGTACGATAATTGTAAGGTGTATGGGTAGCGTGCAAACGCATTTACTCTACGGTCACATGCCTTTCGTATTACGAGCGCGCTAGAAAACCTGGCGAAAATTTGTGGTTTTCTGCGGGTTGGTAGCGCAAGACGAATGCCACACGGCCCGAGGTGAGCAAGCGCACACTGCCCGCTCACTCATCTGTAAGCTCTCCCCTCAGCGGCGCGGGCTTGCAATGATCGCATGTACGATCAGCCTGTCCAAGATGAGCAGGTCGTACAAACTTTTAATCACCTTACAAACATCGCATAACGAAAGTCGTGCGACGGTTGTAAGGTGTATGGGCAGCTTTAGAAAGATCTAAAATAGGTTAGAAATATCTTGTGGTTTTCAAGTCTTTGGTCGGAATCTTTAGGTTCACAGTCCCTCTTATATATGACAATGATTAAAGGAGAACTATGAGATGTGTGATTTCCACTCACCTCATAGTTCTAGCCGACCTGTGGCAATGAGACTGTCACAGGTCGGCTCAGTAGATCGGGAGGTGAGCGAACACATACTGGCGCTCGCTCACCTCTCGATCCTGTCACGGCTCTCTGCCGTGACAGGGGAGGGGCTGCATTCCCCTCTCCCCGCTCCGCCAGCGCCGACTGGAAGAACGGATGGGGAATGGGGCGGGTACAGCTGGCTCTGCCTCTAGATAGGCAGAGCCAGCTGTCACTCACGCAGCTGGGCGGATCTCGACATCGATGTCGGGATCCGCTCCGGCTGCGGCGTCTCAGTATACCGCGAGCTGAAGCTCCCTATATACTGAGCTTAGGGTGACGGGATGACGCTAGTTTGTGTCCTCCCGTTACCCTAAGGAGAACTATGGGGAAAAGCCCTGACTCCATAGTTGTCTATTAAAGAAAGTGTGTATGTGTGGTGATTATAACAATGTTCAGCAGAGAGACGGAAGTCACCTCATCTTTCTTGTTCTCCAGGGAGCCTTTGAGTTTCAGAATTTCGTTGCCTTTCTCTCGCTGAACCGATAGGAGTTCATCAGTTTTAGATCTCAGCTCTGTGTTCAGCCAGTTGTTCTGAGTCTGAAGAAGTTCTTTTTCTTGTTCCAAGCGCTTCTCGCGATACTTTGAAAAAACAGAGAATCAAATCGGATTAATGAGAAATGAAGATAAAACACAAATAAGGAAACATTAATAAAAAGGGTATTTGCAGCCAAGTTTAAATTAGCACAAGTTAGAATTTACCCGAAAACTCCGAGCACAGAAACTCATTTAAAGCTGAACTCCGGGATCAGCAGACATTGTCATCATACATGTGTGTCATGTATGAGTCATGTGTGTTCTTCAGGAATCTCGGTGAGCTTTGTGTATTTCTTTCAGTACTGTGCAGTAATCCAGACCGGTCACTGCTGCTCTCTCTCCTTGTGCAGGGTGACTGGTCTCGTCTCCGCCCCCTCCTGTAATAAAGACCGGTCACTGCTGCTCTCTCTGCTTGTGCAGGGTGACTAATCTCGTCTCCGCCCCCTCCTGTAATAAAGACCGGGCACTGCAGCTCTCTCTTGTGCAGAATGACCGGTCTTGTCTCTGCCCCCTCCTGTAATAAAGACCGGGCACTGCTGCTCTCCCTCCTTGTGCAGGGTGACCAGTCTCGTCTCTGCCGCTTCCTTGTGTAGGACGACTGGTCTGGTCTCCGCCCCCTGATGTAATAAAGACCGGGCGCTGCTGCTCTCCTTGTACAGGGTGCCTGGTCTGGTCTCTGCACCCTCCTTTTTTTTTCCCCCCCCCCCCCCACACACACAGCTCTGCACAGGCTATATATACAGCACAGTGGTGATATCACTGCTGCTTTTAAAAGGTAATATCCCGCCTTGCAAAGGATTTATGCCCTTTGTGGTTCTCAAGGAATATATTTGAATGAGTTTTTGTGCCCAGGGTTCAGCTTAATTTATATCAGATATATAAATAATTCACCGCAATGTAAGTTAGGCACTTATTATTTATATGCGTTATAACTCACTTTGACTGACACCTCAGACGATTGAAGTTCATCCAGTTTTAGCTGCAGCTCTACTTTTAGTACATTGGCTTCCTTCAGCTTCTCATTGAGACGTTTATTATCCTCTTAAGAAGATACACAGAAAGAAAATTAAAATGCAACGTTACAAACAAAAAACAAATCCCCATGCGTTGTGAATAATCCAGAAAGCGAGTACAATGATAAAATGGATTCCCGTTCAGCCAATCATCCGTCGTATCTCTCCTCGGCAGAAAGTTTGCTCACACCATTACGTCAATACAAAACATAAGAACTGGGAGGGCTAATTGGACTCCTTAAAAAGGAGAACTATGAGGGGGGGAGGGGGGTTGCTTTTCACTCACCTCATAGTTCTAGCCGACCTGTGACAATGAGACTGTCACAGGTCGGCTCAGTAGATCGGGAAGTGAGCGAACACATACCAGCGTTCACTCACCTCCCGATCCTGTCACAGCTCTCTGCCGTGACAGGGGAGGGGCTGGATTCCCCCCTCCCCGCTCCAATCCGCCAGCGCTGACTGGTGGAACGGACGGGGAAGGGGGCGGGTACAGCTGGCTCTGCCTCTAGATAGGCAGAGCCAGCTGTCAGTCACGTAGCTGGGCAGATCCAGACATAATTGTCGGGATCCGCTTCAGCTGTGGCGTCTCAGTATACCGCGAGCAGTAGCTCACTATATACTGAGCTTAGGGTGATGGGAGGACGCTAGTTTGTGTCGTCCTGTTACCCTTAGGAGAACTATGGGGAAAAGCCCTAACCCCATAGTTCTTCTTTCAGGAACAGACATAAAAACACATTCAGTGATACATTTTACAGACCGAAAGGGAGAAACAAAAGTTCATTGTTGGGGGTTCACATTGCCTCCAGGTACTAAAGTGAATGCGGGGTTGGCAAATATCAAACAAGAATATCAAAACTGAAGTTAAAAAATAAAATAATAATTCTCACCATTGAGATGTTCCACTTCCTGTGATTTGCGGTCATTTGTCCTGACTAGATCTCTCTTTTCAGCTTCAATCGCATCTTTATTTCTAGTCAGCTGACTCTGCAAATATAAAATAGGAGGTTATAGACCAGAAACACAAATCTGCTCCAATGACATGAATAGGAAGTGAATCACTTTAAACATCAACAACGCAAGGATACATTTTATAGTAACCCGGAGTTCAGCTTAAAGGTTTCTGAAGTTTATTTTACATTTCCTACAACGAGCGAATGGGTGGAGAGTTTTTTTTTGGCTGGTGATGGTCTTGGAAAAATCTGTGTATTTTTATGCAATCCATAGACAACAAAAAAAAAACTTTCTAATTTGATTCAAGTCCATTTGAAACAATCACTGTTACTGTAGATCAAAAGTATAATTTAATAGATAATTTGTCCGATTTAAAATGACACCATTACGATTCTGCTACAAAGCATTGCAGAATAATGTACAAATGAAATAAAGGCTTTTTTTTTATGCAACACCAAAGAAAAATTAAATAAAATGAAAAATTGAGAAGAATGTTTAAATATTACTGATTAGAAAAATAAAAATAGAAAAAAAAATAAGTAAAAATAATACCTACAGGTGGGAGGATTTTATATTGGCTGATCAGTTTAAACTCAGGGTTAATAAATTGGTTATATTTATTTTAGATTGTCAGGTAGCTTTAAACTGAGATATGAAGATTGAAGTTCATCCCTTTGAGTTGCAGATGAATAAAACAGAATATACAAAAACAACAATGTCCAATCTGAAGAAGGTGTATAAACAATGTTACTTTGTATCCCTCTATCTCCCTCTCATCAATGTTGATAAACAATGTTACTTTGTATCTCTCTCTGTAGTCGGAACAATGTTACTTTGAATCTCTCTGTAGTCGGAACAATGTTACTTTGTATCCCTCTCTGTAGTCGGAACAATGTTACTTTGTATCCCTCTCTGTAGTCGGAACAATGTTACTTTGTATCTCTCTATATAGTCGGAACAATGTTACTTTGTATCCCTCTCTGTAGTCGGAACAATGTTACTTTGAATCTCTCTGTAGTCGGAACAATGTTACTTTGTATCTCTCTCTATAGTCGGAACAATGTTACTTTGTATCTCTCTCTGTAGTCGGAACAATGTTACTTTGAATCTCTCTGTAGTCGGAACAATGTTACTTTGTATC